TCATCCCAGAAGTGAACACTGTACCCCCATTAGGAGGTACTTCTCATTCTCGCCCACCCCCCACCTCCCCCTTTTGGCAAGCATTTATCTGTTTTCTGTCTCTATGAATTAGCCAATTCTGTACATTTTATATAAATAGAATCATACAATACATGACCTTATAGTCTAGCTTCTTTCACCTAGCATACTGTTTTCAAGGTCATCCACATGGTAGCATATATCATATGGTTGAATTCTATTCCATTGCAGGTATACACCACCTTTTGTTTATCCATTCATCCACTTATGGACATTGGATTGTTGCCACCCTTTGAATATTGTGAATAGAGTTACTATGATATTGGTGTGCAAGTTTCTGTTTGAATAACTATTTCAGTTCTTTGGGTCCATATGTAGGAGTGGAATTGCTGAGTGATATGTTAATTATATCTCCAACATTTAGGAATCACCAAACTATTTTTCCAAATGGCTGCACCATTGTACATATACTCCCTACCCCAAGCAATGTGCAAGGGTGCCAACCTTCACATCCTCAGCAAAATGTGTTACTTCCATTTTGTTTTGCTTTTATTAAAGCTTTTCTAGAGTGTCAGGTGACATCTCATTAAGTTTTTGATTTGCATTTCCCTAATGACTAGTGATATTTAATATTTTTTTCATGTGATTATTGAACATTTGTGTATTTTTTTTTTCTGAGAAATGTCTGTTCAAGTCCTTTGCCTATTTTTTAATTGCATTATTTGGCTTTTTGTTGTTTTGTTTTAAGTGTTTTTTATATATTTGCTAGTGGCCCCTTATGAGACATGTGATTTGCTAATATGTTTTTCCATCCTATAGATTCTTTTCACTTTCTTCATAGTGTATTTACTTTAATAAATAGGTGCATTAAATTTTGATAAAGCCCATTTTATTTAGTTTTTTCTTTTCTTGTTTGTACATTTTATGTCATATCTAAGTACTGATTGCCAAATCCCAGGTCATGAAGATTTACTCCAGTGTTTTCTACTAACTTCTATTTTTATTGTATTTTTAATGTTTTTATTGATATTTTAGAGGGAGAGGAAGGGAGAGGAATAGAGAGAGAGAAACATCAATGAGAGAAAAACATCATTGATTGGCTGCCCTCTGCACACACACCACAGGGGATTGAGCCCACAACCCAGGCATGTGCCCTGACTGGGAATCAAGCCAGGGGGCTTCTTGATTCCTGGGTCAAACCGCTGAGCTACATGGGCCAGGCCTAACTGTTTTATTTTTAGCTCTTAAATGTAGGTCTTTGACGCCTTTTTACCTGATTTTTGTGTATTTTGTGAGGTATGGGTCCATCTTCCATTTTTTGCTTGTGCATAGACTATTCTTTCCCTCATTGAAGGGGATTGCTGAAAATTAGTTGACATAAATAAATGGGTTTATTTCTAGACTCTCAATTTCATTTTGTTGGTTTATATGTCTACTCATATGGCAGCACCATACTGCTCTGATTACTGTATAAGTTTTGAAATTAGGAAGTGTGAGTCCTCCAACTTTGTTTTTCATTTTCAACAGTGTTTGGGTATTGGGGCCTCTTGCAATACCATATAAATTTTAGGATGAGCTTTTCCATTTTTGCAAAAAGAAATGCTGTTGGCATATTGTTAGTATTGCATTGAATCTGTAGATCACTTTTGAGAATATTGCCATGTTTAAAATATTGTCTTCCAATTCATATGCACAGGATACTTTTCAACTTATTTAGGGTTTTTAAATTTCTTTAGCCATATTTTATAGTTTTCAGTGGACAAGTCTTGAGCCTTTTTTGATAAAGTTATTCCTGATATTTTGTTGAATATTTTTGCATCTATGTTCATAAGAGTTAATGATCTATAGTTTTGTTTTCTTTTGATGTCTTTTTCTGGTTTTGTTTTTAGAGTAACTGTGGCCTCATAAAATTACTTAGTGTTCCTTTTCATTGTATTTTTTAGGAGTTTACAAGAATTTGTGTTAATTCTTCCTTAAATGGTTAGTTGAATTCGGGTCTCCACTTTCCATTTTGGAAAGTTGTGGTTTTTTTTAAAATATATTTTATTGATTTCAGACAGGAAGGGAGAGGAGAGAGAGAAATATTAATGTTGAGAGAGAATCATTGATAGGCTGCCTCCTGCATGTTCCCTACTGAGGATCTAGCAACCTGGGCATGTGCCCTTGACTGAAATAGAACCCAGGACCCTTAGTCCGCAGGCCGATGCTCTATCCACTGAACCAAACCAGCTAGGGCCATTTTAGAAAGTTTTAATTATGAATTCAATCTCCTTACTTGTGACAGGTTTGTTCAGACTCTAGTTCTTCAGGTACTTTTATAGTTCATGGCTTTGTACGAATTTATTTCATTCAGGTTATATAATTTGTTGTTGAATAATTGCTCATAATTGCTCTTATAATCCTTTGTAAATTCACATGATTGCTGTGCCAAAATTTGTGCACAGATAGGGTCCCTAGGGGGCCGGCAACCAGTGCCAATCAGGGCCTTCCCGCTGCTGGCCAGGGCCTCTCTCCCCCTGCTGCCAGCAGCTGGCCGGGGCCTTCCTTCATTTGGCACCACCCCCTGGTGATCAGTGCACATCATAGCAAGTGATAGGTCTCCCAGTCAAATTCCCACGGGGACAATTTGCATATTAGGCATATATATATATATATATATATATATATATATATCCTATCTAATAAAAGAGAAACATGGTAATTAGCCGTACAGCCGCTACCCTTCCCATTGGCTAATCAGGGCGATATGCAAATTAACTGCCAGCCAAGATGGCGGCCGGCAGCCATGCACTGAAGCAAACAGGGAGGCTTGCTTGCTCCAGTGATTGCGGACTCCAACATTCCCCGCCTGACTTGCCGGCCTCTCAGCTGCAACTCTAAGCAACTATGTTGCAAATATAGAAGCTAAACAAAACCCCAGAAACCTGCTTTAGTCAGCCAGGCTTCAGCCAGCCAGACCGCAACATTGTATCAAATACAGAAGGTAAACAAAGGCCAGAAACCTTCTTTCAGCAGCTGAGGCCTCAGAGCTAAAGCTGGCCCAGAATAAAAAAGAAAAAAAGAAAAAAGGGAGCAGTTGGGAGCTTCAGTCACCTGCCAGCCTGAAAACGGCCCTCAGCCCCTCAGCCAGACTGGCCAGGCACCCCAGTGGGGACCCCCACCCTGATCCAGCACACCCTTCAGGGCAAACCAGCCAGCCCCCACACGTGCACCAGGCCTCTATTCTATATAGTAAAAGGGTAATATGCCTCCCGGCACCGGGATCAGGGGTGCAGCGAGGCCTCCTGGTACCAGGATCAGCGTGACAGGAGGCAGAGCCAAAACCCCCTGATCGCCCTGGGGCTCTGTGTGTGACAGGGGGCGGGGCCACAGCCTGCCTATCCGCCCTGCTCTGTTCGTGACAGGGGAAGGTGCCCAACCCCCTGATCAGCCCTGCTCTATGCCTGATAGGGGGGAGCTCCCCAACCCCCTGATCGCCCTGCGGCTCTGTGTGTGACAGGGTGCAGTTCCCTAACCCCCTGATCGACCCTGCTCTGTGTGTGACAGGGTAGAGCCATAACCTCCCCATTGGCCCTGCCCTGAGTGTGACAGTGGCAGCGCCCCAACCCCCGATCAGCCCTGCTCTGTGGGTGATAGAGGGCAGCACCCCAACCCCCTGATCCGCCCTCCTCTGTGTGTGACAGGGGGCGATGCCCCAACTCCCCTATCGGCCCTACTCTGTGAGTTATGGGGGAGCTCCTCAACCCCCTGATGGGCCCTGCTCTGTGCGTGACAGGGGGGAGCTCCCCAATGCCCTGATCGGCCCTGCTCTGTGTGTGACAGGGTACGGAGCCCCAACCCCCCTGATGGGCCCTGCTCTGTGCATGACAGGGGGCAGTGCTCCAACCCCCTGGTCCGCCCTGCTCTGTGTGTGACAGGGGGTGGTGCCCCAACTCCCCTATTGGCCCTACTCTGTGAGTGACAGGGGGGAACTCCTCAACCCCCTTATCGGCCCTGCTCTGTGTGTGACAGAGTACGGAGTCCCAACCCCCCTGATGGACCCTGCTCTGTGCATGACAGGGGGGCAACGCCCCAACCCCCTGATCGACCCTGCTCTGTGAGTGACAGGGCTTGGCGCCGCAACCTCCCTATCGACCCTGCCTTGAGTGTGACAGGGGGCGGTGCCCCAACCCCCCAATCAGCTGTACCCTGAGCGTGACTAAGGGTGGCATCGCAACCTCCCAATCTGCCCTGCTCTGTGCATGACAGGGGGCGGCGCCCCAACTCCCCAATCGGCCCTGCTCTGAGCCCGACCAGGGCTGCACCTAGGGATTGGGCCTGCCCTCTGCCACCCGGGAGCAGGCCTAAGCAGCAGGTCATTATCTCCTGAGGGGTCCCAGACTGTGAGAGGGCACAGGATGGGCTGAGGGACCCCCTATCCCCCTTGAGTGCACAAATTTTTGTTCACCGGGCCTCTAGATATATATATATATATATATATATATATATATATATATATATATATATATATATATGTATATGTGTATATGCATTATTTGGTAGACATGTAACAATATTATAGATAAAATTTGGTATATAATGTAACATCATCATAATAAAAGGCTAATATGGAAATGGTCATCACACCGTCACGTTATCACGCCGTAAGGCCAATCAGCAGGAACCTGAGGCTGCGTGTTACTAGGCCGGGGTTGGGGACATGAGGCCATGCCCCCCCGCCCCCACACTGGGGTTGGGAGACCTCAGGCCAAGCTCCCTGAGGCAGCACCCCCCCACCCTGGGGCCAGAGTCAGGGGACCTGAGGCCGTGCCCCCCTGAGGCCATGATCCATGCCCTGGCTCCGGGAAGGGGCACCTGAGGCCCTGCCCCCCATCCGAGTGCCAGGACATGAGGCTACATCCCCTGCCGGGTGGGGCTTGACAGAGGTGGGGCCGAACGGACACTTCTATTATAGAGAAAGGGTAAATAGCAATATTAAAATATTTCCTCTAATTCCCTTTTAATGTGCATGAATTTCATGCACTGGGACACTAGTAATATATATAAAAGATGTCTATACATACAAATGGTATTATAGCAACAACTGTTGGCACAGTTACTAATCTAACTTCCTTATGTAACTCCCACAACTCATAGAACTGTCCCTGGAGGTGAAGAAGCAAGGAGATAAGAATGTCACCCTGAGTGTTAATCAGGCAAAGATGCTGGTGAACTGGGATGTGGTGCAGGACTCAGGTGACTCAGGTAATGACTGATATGGAGAGAAGTTCAATGAGGCTTCAAGTGGAACAAGACACCCACGGATGTGACAAACAGAATTAAATATTAAAGGGAAGTATGGGCTGTAGTGGGTCAAAAGAGAGAAGGAAGGGGGCCTTTGGGTCACCCCAAGATGTCAACCTTGTCCTTGTCCTGTAGGCCCTGCTGCAGTGGGCCTTTTCTCCTCTCCAGGGATGGGCAAGTTGCTGGTTGAGGCCCCCCTGGTCCTGGAAACTGAGGAACAGTCAGTTCTGAATGAGACACGCAAGGGCCTGCAGCAGGAAGTCTCCCCTGTCCTGCTCTCAGATGTCATATCCGTCTTTGTGAGCAATAAGGACACTCAGAACCTCAGCTCCCCAGTCACCTTTGTCTTCAAGCATGTGAGTGCTGGTGAAATGGGGCTGAGGGGGTGGAAGAGGCCTGAGTCCTGGACACAGTCTTGGGGCTCAGGGGCTTTCCCATGGGTGCATCATGTCCCCAGGAAAGCCCATCACAAGCAGGATTTGGTCAGAATTTCTGAGCACCTAATCACCAGCTCACACCTTGCCGTGTTCCTATAGTCATTGACCCCGGGGCCAATGCAGAAGGTGTTCTGTGTCTTCTGGGAGCCTGGCCAGAATGGAAGTGGTCATTGGTCCACCAAAGGCTGCTGGATAGTGGGCACCAGAGACATCAGCACCACCTGCCAATGCAGCCACCTCAGCAGCTTTGCTGTCCTCATGGCCCACTATGATGTGCAGGTGAGAGCCTTGAGAAAGGACTTTGTTTAGTATCTATTACTATGTAATAAATTCCCATGCATGTTGCACCTTAAAAACATAATTTATTTTTCTGAAATTTATGTGGGTCAACAAATAAACATGGTGCACCTGGGTTGTCTGGTCAGGGTCTTACACAAGCCTCTCATCTGAGGATTTCTGTCCTCTTCTGAGCTCCCTGGTTGCTGGCAGAATTCGGTTTCCTATGGTTGTAGGACTGAGGTTTTACACTCTTGTTAGCTGGCAGCAGGGGTCACATTCTTATGTGGCCCTCTCTCAGGCCCTCTCACAATGTGTCTATGCTCTTTTCTGGAGACCAGCAGCAGAAGCTCCCTCACATCGAGATATTCTCCAGCCCTGGCCAGTGTTCTCAGTGGTTAGAGCATCAGCCCATGCACTGAAGGGTTGCAGATTCAATTCCAGTATGTTGTTTAATCTCCACATATTTGTGGGTTTCTTTACTTCCTTTTTACAGTTGAGATATATATATATATATTTTATTGACTTCAGAGAGGAAGGAAAAGGGAGAGAGATATAAAAATTCAATGATAAGAGAGAGAATCATGGATTGGCTGTCTCCTATGTGCCCCTCACTGGGAATCAAGCCTGCAACCCAGGCATGTGTCCTGACTGGGAATCCAACCCTGACCTCCTGGTTCATAGGTCGATGCTCGACCACGGAGGCACGCAGGTCCAGCTTTGCAGTTGTCTTCTAATTTTAAGGCATTGTGGTCGAAGAATATGCTTGGTATAATTCAATCTTCTTAAATTTCTTAATGCTAGTTTTGTGACCCAACATATGATCTGTCCTTGAGAATGTTCCATGTGCACTGTAGAAGAATGTATAATCTGATGTCCTGGGATGAAAGGTTCTGTAAATGTCAACTATGTTGATTTGATCTAGTGTTTCATTTAAGACTGATATTTCTTTTTTTTAAAATATATTTTATTATTTTTTTTAACAGAGAGGAAGGGAGAGGGATAGAGAGTTAGGAACATCGATGAGAGAGAAACATCGATCAGCTGCCTCCTGCACACCTCCTACTGGGGATGTGCCCGCAACCAAGGTACATGCCCTTGACCGGAATCGAACCTGGGACCTTTCAGTCCGCAGGCCGACGCTCTATCCACTGAGCCAAACCGGTTAAGGCTGATATTTCTTTATTGATTTTGTGTTTGGTTGATCTGTCTAGAGCTGTCAATGGAGTATTAAAGTCCTCAACTATGATTGTGTTGATCTGTTTCTCCCTTTAATTCTGTGATTAGTTGTTATTATTCTGTGATTATTTCGGTGCTCTTTGATTGGGTGCATATATACAGTGGGGCCTTGACTTACGAGGTTAATTCGTTCTGAGACCGAGCTCATTAAGGAGCTCCTTAAGGAGCTCATTAACTCAAATTACTCTGTCAACTTAAAGCAAAAAATTGGTGGAGAGACAGCTGGTATCTCAAAAAACTCGTTAGTCGGGACACTCGTAAGTCAAGGCCCCACTGTATTAAGAAGTGTTATGTTTTCTTGATGTAGTGTACCCTTTATCATTTTAAAGTGGCTATCTTTGTATCTTGTTATCTTTGTTATTTTAAAATCTATTTTTTCAGATATAAGTATGGCTTCACCTGCTTTTTTTTGGATTTGCTTGGAGAATCATTTCCCACCCATTTTCTTTGAATCTACCTTTGTCTTTGCGGGTTAGGTGTGTCTCTTGCAGCATTTGGTTGGCTTTTGTTTTTTGATTCACTCTGCCACTCTGTGCCTCTTTATAGGTGAATTCAGACCATTTACATTTAGAGTAATTATTTATGTATAAGGATTTTCTATAGCCATTTTGTCTTTTATTTTCTGGTGGCTCTGTGCCTCCATTGGTGCTTTTCCTTTGTGTTTCTGTCTGTTGTTTTTGTTTGGTGATATTCCATACTTCTTCTCTCTGTTTCTTCTTTTTTTTAAGCTATGTGTCCTGGTTTGGGGATTTTTGTGTGTGGTTACCATTAGGTTTATAAAAAATAAATTTGCTTATATATAGTAGCCTTTTTTCTTTTGAGTGCATCTGATCTTCATTGTCCTTTGCCAGTTCAGTCCTTCACCCTCTCCCCTTTATGGTTTTGTTGTCACAAATTATCCCTGTTTAAGCTGTAAGTTTTTGGTGATCTCACTCATAGAGTTGTGACCTTTGATCTTTGTTTCAGGGAGAATAACCTTCTTGAATATTTCCTGCAATGGAGGTTTTCTGGTGAAAAAAAAAACAAAACAAAAACCCTTATCTTCTGTATGTCTGAGAACATCTTATTTCTTCTTCACATTGAAAAGATATTTTTGCTGGACATATTATTTGTGGCTGATAATTTCTCTCTTTCAGATGTTTGAGTATTTGGTTCCACTCTCTTCTGGCTTGTAGAGTTTCTGTTGAGAAGTCAGATGAAATTCTGATGTGTTTTCCTTTGTAGGTCACTGACTACTTTGAGAATTTTTTCTTTGACATTAACTCTTGACACTTCAATTCCAAGTGCCTCTTTGGATTGAGATAACTAGGAATTTTGTTTGCTTTTTTGATTCAAAGATTTAGTTTGTTCTTTAGGTTTGGAAAGTTCTTATCCACTATTTGTTTGATAGACTCTCCATTCCATGCTCCCTCTCCTCCTACTCCAATTCCTATAATTAGAACCTATAATTCTAATATTGCTTTTTCTGATAGAGTCAGATAGTTCTCATAGAGCTCTTTTATTTTTATTTTTATTTATTCTCAAGTCTCTCTCTTCTCCCCCTGCACCATTTCTAGATTCCTATCTTCAATATCATTAATTCTTTCCTCCATCTGTTTGGCTCTGTTTTCTATGCTCAATAGTTTACTCTTAATCTCCTTAATTGCATGCTTCATTTCTAGGATTTCTGATTGGTTCTTTTTTAAAGTTTCGGTCTGTTTGGTAAAGTACTCATTTTGTTCATTGATTTGTTTTCTGAGTGCATTGAGTTGCCTGTCTGTATTTTCTCACATCTCATTGAGTACAGTCAGAACTGCAATCTTGAAATCTCTGTCATTTATATCACATTAGAGGTCCAGTGCACAAAATTTGTGCGGGGGTACAGTCCCTAGGCCTGGCCTATGATCAG